TGAACTGCTGTCCTCTAAGGGAGAGAGGACTCAGAGTACTGTAGGTGCCAGGTGAACGTAGACTTGGGAAGATGGCTTTCCAGGACGGGCTGTTGTTTTGGATTGTGGACCACACCTGAGGGAATAGAGCCAAGGCAAAAATCGCTCCAGAGAGGGGATTTGATGGGAAGAGAAGGGGGGATGGGGTGACCTCACAGCTACCTTCCAAGAATACAGTGTGTTTGTAGGACACGTGTCATTGATCCACTCAGGATCACTGAAGTCAAGTGACTTGGCCAAGGCCCTGGAACTAGTGACAAGTGATGGACTCAAAGTCAAGCCCCTGACTCCTTACAGGGCATTCTACCACTGTGTCTCCCCAGAGCATGGTGAGTCATAGACGTTTCAGTAACTCCCTCTGGATCATGAGAAGCTCTTCCCAGTAATGGTCACAACCTTCTCCTGACCAGATAACCTGGAGTGAGGGAAGAATAAAAAGGACAGCAGGGCTGGTGGTTCCAGGAGGGAGGAAATATGAAGGGAGGGATTCAGAGAGGGGCAGAGAGGAGACAGGGAGACATCATGTTCTGGGAACCCAGGACTATCTCCTCATCTTGGCCATCATCGTCACCATTTACTGGGCTGTAAATGCTCTAAAGTGGTACCACACAAAACAGGGTAGCACAGCTGAACTTGACTTTGATTCCTGGCTTTGCCGGTGACCCTACACAGTTTATTTAACCTCTCAGAGATTGGATCCTCATCTACAAAATGAGAATCCTCAGAATTCTGGCCTCACAGGATTTGAGGGAAATTCTAAGGGAGTTAATGTATGTAAAACCCTTAGCAGATTGCCTGGCTCATAATAGGTGCTCAATAAATGTGCACCAGAGTTGGGAGTGTGGAAATAATTCCCCATTAATTTGCTTCCCAGGGATGGTGGTTAATGTCAGGAAGATATGCAAGTCTGGGCCAGAGCTGAATTCTTTTTTTTTTTTTTTAATGTTTATTTATATTTGAGAGAGAGAGAGTGTGTGAGCAGGGGAGGGGCAGAGAGGGAAGGAGACACAGAATCGGAAGCAGGCTCCAGGCTCCAAGCTGTCAGCACAGAGCCTGATGTGGGGCTCGAACTCACCAACCATGAGATCACGACCTGAGCCGAAGTTGGACGCCCAACCAACCGAGCCACCCAGTCGCCCCTAGAGCTGAATTGTTTGAGAGGATGTAGGGGGTGCTGAGGCTGCTACCAATGGATCACCTTATCTCTTTTTCCAGTACGTAGTGGATGATGAAATAAGAACATCTCTTTGAAAGTTCCCAAGTCATTCCCCTGTCCAGGGTGCTCCCACCCCTCACTGCAGCCCTGACCCCACTCAGAATGGCCCTTAGGCCCTGTCCTTTCTCTTCCCCTTCCCTCCCTTCCTCGCTCTGGTTCCCTGGACATTGCCATGCAGACTTGCATCCCAGTTTTCAGTGGCAGCTCACTTCTGTCCATAAGAACGCCCACAGCCTACACCAGAACAACGGGGTGAGAGGGAAAGCTGTGGTGGGTCCCCAGAGGCGGGGCAACGTGCCGGCACCCAGGCCATCTCTAGCATTGAGAGAAGGAGGTTGGACTCTATATAATCTCTCGCTCTACCTCTGCCCATGTGACCAAGATGCTTGAGCTCATTCATAAAATAATAGGAAAAGCTAACATTTGTTTGAGCAGTTCGCTATATGCCAGGCATCAGTCTCAGTGTTTTATGTGTATTTACTCAAATAATGCTCAACATAACCGTCAAGTAGAACTACTGTTATAATCCCCATTTACAAATGAGAAAATGCAGACACAGAGAGGTTGAGTAACTTGTCCCGGGTCACGCAACTGGCAAGCAGGATTTAAATGCAAGCATTCTAATGACAGAATTTTCCCTCTTAACCACTATGTGATGCTGCTTCTCCAAAGGGGACAGCAGGCGTTCGTGACAGCAGAAAAGAGGTCTTATTTCTAACATATATTTTGTTGAAATTGTATGAATATGAGTGTTATTATTAAGTTGGTTCTTAGAGAAGTGCATATGGCAAAGGTAGTTTACAGGGATTTTCAAGGGTTTGGAGTTGCTTTGGGATCAACTTTATTCCTGTGGCATAAAGGCCAAGTGAGGTCTGGAAAAAAACACCCTGGGAGTTGTGATCTTGTCAACACACCCCCACCCCCACACCTCTGCTATCAGCAGAATATGAAAATGCCCATCTCAATATGCCTGGAAGGGAACAGAAATCACCCAAATGGAACATGCAGAAGGTGGGGTGTGTGTTAAGGCCAGGAAGGGGTTGCCCCCTTACAGAGTGCACAGAGAGATTTGAGCCAATGCCTTCATGTTCGCTTTGGGTATTTCTCAACATCAGCTAGTGGAGCCAATTCTGATACTGCCATCTTCCACACTCCACCCCAATACACGCTTGTGTCTAGCCGAATGTCTGCTGGACATCTGTCCCTGCAAAAGAGAAGCTCCCTTAAGAACGTAGAGCACAGACTCAGTGTTTTATATTGCCGTAATTTCACATGTAAAAGAATCACTAGAGACTGTATCAATCAGTTTTGCTGCGTAACAAAGAACCCTGCTCCCAGATCTCAGTGGCTTATAAAAATGAAGGTTTATTTTCCATTTACGTCGCAAGATGCCCACAGCTCAGCAGTAGTTGTGCTTCAGGCTGTGGGTTGACTAAGGGTCAGTTCCATTGGTCTTCTTGGTCTGTGATTGCATAGGAAGGAGCAGCCCCTATGTACAGTGTGCTGTTCCAACAGAAGGCAGGAATGCAAGAGACCGACTTTTTAGGTATGCGGTCACCTTACACGTTTGCAGCCATGTGGCCCATAGTCCACAGGCCAGAGCAACTCAGTGAGCCGAATCTGACAGGAGAGTAGGAAAATCGACTGGCCCTGTGTGGCAAGGATGTGAAAGCATAATCCTTTTACAGAAGACTGGTCTGTAATCCAAATTATTATAGGGATTTTTTTTAAGCATGCAATTCAAGGGCCCTTCCTCAGCTATTTTAATTCAGTAGGTCAGGGTAAGTAATAACACCAGGAATAATAATAAATGAAAATAATAATAGTAATAATGATAAAGATGGGACACCTGGGTGGCTCAGTCGGTTGAGACTCTGCCTCTTGATTTTGACTCAAGTCATGATCTCATGGTTCACGGGTTCGAGCCCTGTGTTGGGTACAGTGCTGACAGCCCAGAGTCTTTTTGGGATATTCTCTCTCCCTCTTTCTCTGCCCCTCTCCAATTCACACACACACATGTGTTCTCTTTCTCTCTCTCAAAATAATTAAATAAACTTAAAAAATAATAAGGATAATGACCGATATTGTTTGCCTTTTATGAGTTTTATGAGCCAAAAACTGTGTTAAGTGTGCATGTATGATGTTGTTTAATCCTTATGATCTCCCTTTTATAGGTAAAAAAGAGAAGCTCAGACATGTTCAGAAACTTCCCCAGGTTACACAGCTAGTAAATGGTGGAGCAAGGGCATGGACCTGTGGAGTATAACTCCTGAGCACCCCAAAGTCTTCTTCTGCTTCTCAAATATGCCAATTCTCTCCTGCCTCAGGGCCTTTGCACTTCCTTTCTTCTCAGCTTGAATGAAGTTTTCTCCCATTCATTCACTCATTTCTCAAGTTTCAGTAGAAACATCACTTCCTCAAAGAAGATGCCTGATGGACTCTCTTTGTGGGTCTCCTGGACTTTGTCAGCCTTATATGACCTTCTGTGCTGCGGCAACTCACTTGATGGGGAACCCAATCTCCTGTGCATCCTCTAGCCTCCTAACACCTCAGGCTGTCTCAGCTCTCCTCGGGGAAAACAGGAGATGGGAAGGGGCCAGCAGATAAATCTCTCTCTCTTCCTTCTCCCGGATGGGCTCTCCAAGACACGGTTGTCCCAGATGGCTCATCCATCTGAGCCATCAGCTCTATTTTCTTGCAAGGCTGGTGCCAGCTCTGTAAAACACCACTTTGCACGTGCTTTCCCTCGTTCCTTCACTTCCTCTTGTCCTTTTCTCTTGCTGCCCTAGACTGCCTCGCCCAAGAAAGCATTAGCAAGTGAGATTTACTGCTGGGTTTGCTCTCTTGGGAGCCCAACCTAAGGGACCCCTTCCCATCTTAACTTGACCACCCGTCTTTCTCCCTCCAGTACCCTAATCTTGTGTCTCACAGTGTTTTCTAGCACAACTACTCATCATATCTAATATATGTGGTTATGTGGTTATCTGTTTAACAACAACGTCTCTCCCTCCACGGTAAGCTCCATGAGACAAAGATTGCACAGTGTTGATTGCCATTGTGTTGCTTGTACTTAGTGGATGGCCTGCCCATAGCAGCTGCATAAATAATATCCAGAAATGAGTGTGCATGCCTGGGTTTGAATCCTTGTTCTGACTCTGTTACTTTGGCGAGTTACTAAAAATTCCTCAGCTTCGTTTTCCTTCTTTTTGTGGAAAAATGGGACGAGGTACCTACTTCAGACGTTCTGAGAACCAACGCTGGTGGTAAATGTAGATGTTCAATAACTGATAATAATTGCTGATATTATTAGGCAAGGCCAGCCCCCAGCAATCTTTTCCTGTAAGGGGCCAGATCGTAAATATTTTAGGCTTTGTGGAAGAGATGATCCCTGCCACCAATTCAACTCTGTTATTGTGTGAAAACAACCATAGATGATATATAAACAAATGGGTGTGTCTGTGTTCTAATAAAACTTTATTCACAAAAACAGGTGACAGGCCATATTTTGGCCCTCAGGTTGTAGTTTGCTGACCCCTATACTATACGGTCTGAGCAGTGTCAACGTAAAGGCTTGTGCTAAGTCGTATCAACCGACTGCAAATATTTCTGAACTTTCTAGGCAAGGCTTCTCCTTTGATTTCTTCTCCGTGTTAAAGATAAGCAATAGTTTCCTGGCAGTGACAGTGTACTTTCAGGGAAACCTTATTCTCAGAGTCTGTATTTGTTTATAATACCTCTCCAACAGGTGTGAGCGGTAAGAGACCTACCGTATATTTTCTCTCCGACTCTTTGTTTCCTGGTAATGGTGCACCTTCTCCACGTACACGAAGCTAGTCTGTGGTGAGAAAAATCAGCATTTGGAAGACCGGAACTTCACTTGTCTCCTAAGAAGAACCTTACTTTTATGGTAAATGTTTTTAAAATATGTTGTTTCCTGCAAGAGATATTAGAGATAGTCTTTTTTTTTTTTTTAATTTGGTCAAGCCTTGAGAGAAGAGCAGATCTAGCCATCATCTATCTATCTCTATCTATATTGATCCCAATATATCTATATCGATATCAATGTCAACATCAATATCGATATTGATATCGATGTAGCTATATATCTAATGGGGTCAAGAGAATAAGACAAGTGTGCTTTAGAGAAAACAGTAGATTTTTTAAGCTTTGCTATGTATCAGGTATGTGAGAGGGGGCCAAGACACCACAGCTGATGGCTCATCAGGAACCACCCACAGGAAAATTGAGGTGCTATTAATAGGAGGAGAGGGAATTACAGATCGGAGCTAGGTGGGGTGGATATGAAGTGGCTGCCATATCTTACCCCTGTGAGCATCAGCGTGCCTCTCTTGTGCTGATGAAAAAAGATGTTGTAAAGGGCACCTTGCCCATTGCCTGGTACAAAATAGAGCTGGACTAACTCTCTCTTTTTTTGTAATTATTAATAAAACAAGACACTCCACAAATCCTACCAAGGGTTAAGCCTACTTGAACTGATCACACGTTTGTTGGATTCTGATGCATATCACCTTGATGTGACATTGCAGACCCACGTTCCGCACATCTTTGTGTTCTCCCATCCTTGGAGTTTCGGTGATGACTCTCCTCATGGTTGCAATGTGGCTGCCTCTGCTCTAAGCATCATGTCTTTTCAGGACATCTTTTCATGCAGGATGAAAGAAAGCAGGTGGCAAAAAGGGCCCCCTCCTTTACTTCCTTTGTGCTGGGGAAGGAAATCTTCTCCAGAAGGCCCCTTGCAAACTTCTCTTTATGTGCCATTGGCCAGAAGTGTGTCACTCATCTGACCCTAAACTAATCCCAAAGGGGGTGTGGTAACCATGATTGGCTGAGAAGAACGATGATTCATCTACTGTGGCTGGAACTAGGAAAGAAGCGGCATGCTCACGGGCAGGGAGAGTCTGCCATATCTTTTTTGTCATTTCCTTCTCACGTCTATTTAGTTGACCAGTTCCTAACTCAGTGCCTGACCTAAAATAGGCACTCAGTATGGTTTTGTTGGGGGATGAGTAAGTAATACGTGAAGAAATAATGACTAGAATGTCCTCTCCTTGCCTTTTCCCCTATTTATTCTTTTTGTTTTCCTTATTTCTCCGAGTCTGAGAGAGGCAGTCCTGGAACTATTCTTGTCCATGCAGACGACTCTTCCTAAACTTGGTTGCACGGTAAAAGATGAATATGGTTCATCACACCGTCCATTTTCCGCCTTTGGTATGCGTTGGCCAGTGTGGTCAAGGAGAGAACAGGGGAGGGGAGGCTGGTGGTGTAATCAAGGACTGACTGCTCAGCTATGACCAAGCCTGTCCTCAGCAAGACAGGGAACCATCAAAGTCCGATTCCCTTCATTCCTTTCTCTGGGCAATTTCCTATGGGTGTTCAAACTTTTCTATTAGAGTGTCAGTAAAATGACAGCGAGCTGTGGAAAATATCAAAGAGAAATGGTGTGGAATGCAGCAAGCATCTTGGAAGCATTTGTTATCAAGTATGTAATGAGATAATTATAAACCTCTTTCCACTTAGCTCATAGCCCAAAAGGTCTAATGCACACCCTTCCTATCACTTTTGAAATCTAGTTTGAATGAAGCACTGGGAAATATTTCTTTAAAGAGTGATCATTCTGGATTATTCATGATTTCAGTCTTGTTTCACACCATTATTGGACCAAGGTGGGGACTTTGTGCTCAATTCTGGCATATCTCTGGGAAGGAGACAGGATGACGAGTGGTTCTTCATTCTGGGCGGCACCTGATCTCTATCACTTATTAGCTATGACATACTGGGCAAGTTGCTTAATAGATCCAAGCCTCAATTTTCTCATCTACAAAATGGGATCATAATTGAGGGTGGTTCTGGCACAGACACTGCACAAAGAAAGGGGTGCAATAAATGCTATCTGTCACATGCTGTCGTCATCAGTTTGCCACTGAAATGACACGCACGTTTTACAAAGACGGCTGTAGTTGTCATCTTTGAAAACAAGATTATGCCGTTTGGGAAAACCCAAAGTCAGTCCATCCAACAACAACCAGCCAATCGTTGTGATGAACTGTTTGTATTCTTGGCATGGTGCCAGGTGCTCCAACACAATGTGTGAGGTGGGGGGGGGGGGCTTCATGTTGCTGAGAATGACTCTGACCAGTCAGTTAAGGGTGGTTAAAAAATGCCCATCGAATTTGATGCTTATTTTGCGGAAATGAAGGTCTTTGGGTTGAATCATGTCACCCAAGAGGGTCGCTTCATATTGAATTGATTCTTAATGGGTTCTGTCTTGCAGTTGGGTGTGAAACCAGGAGCATGTGCTGTGGCAGCATTGAGAAGAGGGATGTCAGGCTTCTCTAGACCTGTCCACCCACAAAGCCATTGTCACTTCAGGCAAGCCTCCTCACCATTCCGGGCCTCCTGCTCTCTAACACGAGCATTTAAATACCCACCCACAGCATTTAGATGGTTATTGCAAGTAAAAGATGAAATTATTTCATTGTAATTATTATTATGGTTACTTACTATGGTCTCAGAGGAGAGTTCTTTAAGATGCTGGAACTCTCTTGGGTCCAGGAGCATGAGAACGATTGTTCTTCTATGACCAGTTCTTTCCAACTCTCCACATAAATCCAAACCAAATGAAAAGGATATATTTAAAAACATTTCTTACTTGACCACCGGGAGCTCTGAATGGGCTAGTGTAGAAGTTTGGGTCCTCTGAGAAGTACACACTAAGACAGGGTTAGATGCCTAAGAGGGTCATTGGAGGAAACACCTGTGAAGAGAAAGAGGGAGGAAGTAGGGGGAGGCAGGGAGAGACTTTAGACCCTGATGTGGGTCTCACACCTGTGAAAGGAGAGGAAGAAGGAAGGAGACCAGGAAGAAAGAGTCTGAAACTGAAGTACATTTCTAAGATCCAGTGTTTGGACAGAGACCAAATTGCCTATGAGAGCAGTTCTGTGCCCCAGAGAAATGAGCCTGGGCTTATACCCTCGTCATGCTTAGTCATTGGCAGGGAGCAGCCTGTGGGAGGTGTGACCTTGGCATGAACACAGTGGCGGATCCAGCACTGGGACATTCAGTCAACTATGTTTCCCATCTCAGGAGACGTGAGCAGTACATTTTCATGGCTACCCAGCAAACTGTGAGACATTTCTTCCTTGAGAACACATCGTAAGGACTTTGAAAAACAAACCAGAACATTTGTGATAGTATAGATTTTGCACCCCAAATCAATGTTCCATTCCCTTCTTTGACTTTCACTTCCCCCTCTGTTTCAGCTAGACCAATCATGTTGAAAACCCCACCCAGGTTTGTAGAGTTCCTCATTTGACAATTAAAAAAAATTTATGTGACTGAGTTACATGTGCTTCCTTTGTTTTATCTTTTCAATGAGTTGTTTTCATTTCTTGGGTTTTCTTTGATTTCATGTTTTTCCTATCTTTACCCATCCACCATCGCCTGTTCATACTGTATTGCTGATGCCTGATGTGGTATTTGTGGAATAAATGGACCAATAAATTAGTGAACGGGCTATAAGAGTCAAACCTTCTTCATGTCTGAGAGCTCCTTGGTGTCAGGGTCTTTGTCTTAGGGTGATGACATATAATGGAAAGACCATAGGTTTTGTTCTATGATTAGACACAAATCAGATGTGTGATCTTGGGCAAATTGCACCACCTATGTGAGCCCAGGTTTCTTTTTTTGACTAATCAAGCCAATAATAGTATCTATCTTGTTGAAATGTAAATGACAGAGTGATAATAAATGTAAAGTTCTGGGCATAGTGTCCAGCACATTAGAGATGCTGAACAAATGACAGGTAATGAACGAATGGGCCTGAAGAATGTGTAACACATAATGTAATACATAATACATAACTCATTAGACTTTGCTCCTTTCCCCGCCCTCCTGAAAGTCCCCTGTCCATATCTAGTGACAAAGGATCCAGGCGAGAACAGGTAGATGGATAAAGGATTGGAACATAGCAGCAAACAGGCCAGTGTTGAGCACTTACTGTGTGTGCAGCTACTGGGCTAATCACTATGAGACAAGTGGAGATGACTGAGGTATACTCCACGTCCTCAAAGAGGTGGCATTTCAACATGGCATTAGGTGTTTGAAGGTATTGATGGATGGACACCTGGGGTGCAAGACAGCATCATTATAGGATGAATAGGAATAGTGTTTTGGAAAATGTTGAGCAGACTGGGATGTGGGGAAACAGAGGGAAAGACGTAGCTCGAAAGTTAGTTGAGAGGGGAATCCAACATGGCAGAGAAGTAGGGGGACCCCAAGTTCCCTCGTCCCTCAAACACAGTAGCGTTGAGGCCAGAGGACTTGGAATTCCAAGAGTCTGGACTTCAGAGTGACAGAGACGTCTCCAGGAGCCCATGGGGACAACCTGGTGGGCCAAGAGGTGCGTGATTGGGAACTGGGAGAGAGAAAACGGGCATAGGCACCACCCATAGGAAGGGGAGGGATTCCCTTCTGCGGACAGAGGAAAGAGAAAGAGAGGTTGTGCAAGTGTAGGACTGTATTTGGACAAGTGAAAAACCACAGACTGGGGGTCAGGAAAAAAACAAAATGGAGAAAGAGCCAATCTCTAACTGCAGGCTTTCTCCCGACTGGGGCCCCAGCTGCCCTGTGTGTGCACCTGCGGAGGAGGGGAGCCAGCCCTGGGCTCAGTACCTAGCTCAGAGGCGCAGTCCGCAGTGGGAGAAAGCGATGCCCTCCCTGGAGTGCTGTGGGAAGAAGGTATATATCCGTTCAAAGGACAAAAGACCCTGCCTGTGACCGCCAGCGAGAAGGCCATTTATCTGTGGGGTGCAACAGCACTTCCCAGGAACTGGGCGGGATGCGGGGAGCAGGACCCTTTAAGACATCTGGGTCTGAATCCCAGATGAGGAGCCCCAGGAAGAGTGGAGACTAAGGAGGGGGCGGGGATAGAAGGACAGCTTGAACAGAGTGGTTTGGGACACATGGTCCTGGGAGGAGAGACTGGGGTCTTGACCTTTTTCTCCCCATCACCAGCAAGGTGGGGCTTCAGGGAACAACAGCAGGGGCACGGTGGAGGGGGACCCCCTCCCCGCGCCTGGGAACTATGTATCTACCTGAGATCGACACTGACCAATCAGACAGCCCCTCCAGACCAGAGCTGCCACTGGATCCAAGGCACCCAGCGGGTTTGCATTTTCTGATTTAATTCTTGGACAATTCCTGTTATACATATATGTACATATATATACTTTTTCCCCCCTTCCCTTCTCTAGTCTGGTTATTCTGGTTGTGGGGCGTTGTTTTGTTGATTTGTTTAAGCGAACATATTTAATCTATTCTCTTTTTTAAATTTTGTTTTCAACGTTTATTTATTTTTGGGACAGAGAGAGACAGAGCATGAACGGGGGAGGGGCAGAGAGAGAGGGAGACACAGAATCGGAAACAGGCTCCAGGCTCTGAGCCATCAGCCCAGAGCCTGACACGGGGCTCGAACTCACGGACCGCGAGATCGTGACCTGGCTGAAGTCGGACGCTTAACCGACTGCGCCACCCAGGCACCCCTAATCTATTCTCTTTACACCTGTTCTATATCTCCTTCTTTATTTTCCTCCCTCCCTCTCTCTCTCTCTCTTTCTCTCTCTCTCTGTATTAAGATATATAGTTTCAATGTCTGGTCAGTTTTCTTTTCTTTTCTTTTTCCCCGTCCCTGTCATTTCTCTCTTTGTATGGGATAAGGCCTCTTGCCCACCACCACCACCCCCAATTTTTTTTTCATTCTTCTTTTTCTTTTTAATTTTTTTTTTCCAGGGCTACTTTGATGAACACATCAAAGCACACCTGGTGGAGGGTCCAAAACATCACTACAAGCACGGAGATAAAGGAACCAGAGTCACAACAGCAGAGAGCACGGAACACACTCTGAAAACCACCTCCTGAGGGGCCGAGCCCTAGGCAGTGCGTGACCCCTCTTTAATATAGTAGTGCTCGCAGGTACGGGACACATAACAAGCTTTTAAAACACCTAAGGGACAGAAAACTAGCCAAAATGATGACACGGAAGAATTCTCCTCAAAAGAAATTCCGGGAAGAAACGACAGCTAAAGAATGGCTCAAAACAGATGTAAACAATATATCTGATCAAGAATTTAGAGTAACTGTCACAGAAAGTTAGTTGGGATCAAACCCATGAGGACTCTGAATGTCCAGCCAAGGAAACTGGATTTGATTCTGTAGCTACTGGTATGTCAATAAAGGCTCTTGAAGAGATAAATGGAATGACCCAGCTAGCAACTGGAAGGACGAAGTGAGAGTGAACACCTGAAAATGGCATGTCCAAATAACCCCAAAGCAGTGAGTCCCCATCTATGGGCTGGTTCACACACCTTTGTCAATTGCTTATTTGTCAATAAATTTTCAACCAATGCAGGGAATTTTCAACCAATTTTCAACCAATGCAGGGAATTTTCAACCAATTTTCAACCAATGCAGGGAATCTCTAATAATGAACCGCTGGGCCCTGGCATCATTTTCACATAGGAGGGTGAAGGTTTTAATCCCTGTTGTAAGTGAGTTAACCTCAGTAGAGGGTACAGAGATCACCCTTGTTTACCAAGTCACATTTTTTCAATCAGCCCGCATTTTCTGAGCTCGTTACAAGTCAGGCACTGCGCTGAGGGCCAGGGTGTAAGGGCGAAGGCACCTGCCTGTTCTCGGCAGTCTTCTCATTTGTTGGGAGAGGGACAGGCACGCACGTGACTGTGAGCCAAGAATGGAACTGACAGTAAGTGACATGGAAATCTGGTAAGGAAAACAGAGAAATAGAGGCTGGGGTAGAGGAGAAGTTCTTCTTAGAGGCAATGGGGCTTCAACTTGAAATTCATTCAGGGGGTTCCGAGTGGCGGCTTCGAGGGGAAGCCCAGAATATTAGGAAGACAGTGTTATATAGAGTATGAGAGTGAACCTTCTGGAGTCTGACTGTCTGGGCAGTGCAGATCCTGAACCCACTTTCCTAGCTGTGTGACAGTCAACTAGAACAAGTCATTCTTGGTGCTCCAGTCTCCTCACCTGTAAAATGGCAAAACAGGGGGGAACACTCATAGGGCTGTTAAAAACATAGAGCAGCGGTCAAGCGGAGTTTTCCTGTAAAGGACCAGATAGCAACTATGTGAGGGTTTGCTGGCCATATGGTCTCCGTTGCAGCTACTGCACTCTGTGGGCAGATTTGTGTCTCTCCAAAACTCATGTGTTGAGACCCTGCCCCCACCCCATGTGATGGCATTTGGAATTGAGGTCATTGGAAGGCAATTTGGTTTAGAGGAGGTCGTGCGGGTAGAGCCCCTACAATGGGATTAGTGTCCCTAAAGGAAGAGAGAGAGACTAGATCTATCTCTGCTCTTTACCTTTTGGGGACACAATGAATAGACAGCTGTCTGTGAAACAGGAAGAGGGTTCTCACTAGACAGTGGATCTGGCAGCACCTTGATCTTGAACTTCTGGGCTCCAGAACTGTAATAAATATATATATATATATATATTTTTTTTGTTTGAGCCACCTGGTCTACGGTATGTTGTTATGCAGCCTGATATCCCTATGGTGGAAGGTATTATAAATTTTTTTAAATGTTTTTATTTATTTTTGAGACAGAGAGAGACAGAGAATGAGCAGGGGAGGGGCAGAGGGGGGGGAGACACAGAATCGGAAGCAGGCTCAGGCTCTGAGCTGTCAGCACAGAGCCCGACGGGGGGCTCGAACTCACGGAGTGTGAGATCATGACCTGAGCTAAAGTCGGATGCTTAACCGACTGGGCCACCCAGGCATCCCTGGAAAGTATTATAATAGGTGAATGAATGCTGTATGTTAAGGAGATTTTATTTATGGATCCTGAAATTTGATTTCATAACCTTTTTATGTGTCGCAAAACACCATTATTGTTTTGATTTCCCCAAATTATTTTAAAATGTATAAACTCTTCCCTAGCCCTCTGGCTATACAAAAGCAAGTGGCTTGAGGGATTTAGTCCACAAACTATGGTTGCTGACCCCTGAGATAGAGAATATAGAGTAATACGCTCCAAAGCTTAGATGGTATTATTGTCAACCCACTTATTAGGTGGGAAAACGGAGTCTAGAGAATTCATAGTAAATTTTGGACAAGAGTTTCTGCCATATGGATCTTCATCAGTCAAATATTCTTCAGTTTTCTCAGTCAAGAAGAAAGAACGGCAATAATTCAAGGTACTGATTCTGAGTTCCTTCTTCACCTCAGATTTCTCTTCACTGATCAGCTCTCTTTACATATTATTTTTAGAACTCTCAAAATGGCAGCCACAGGAAAGTAGATTATCCAAAACAGAAGAAAAAAGGGAACCAAGATGAAGGAGAATAACTTCTTCAGTAAACACTAGTCATTTACCTGGGGTTTGGCCACAAATCCCAGGACAGAAATGCATGAAAATTTACCCAAAAGACACATTAGCATGAAGACTTGAGCCGAAAAGGAACAAAAATTCTTTGGGCTTTTATTACTAATATTTTTTAATGTTTAATTATTTTTAAGAGGAGGGGAGGGGCAGAGAGAGACACACACACACACACACACACACACACACACACACACACACAGAATCCGAAGCAGGCTCCAGGCTCCGAACTGTCAGCACAAAGCTTGACGCGGGGCTCGAACTCACAGACTGTGAGATCATGACCTGAGCTGAAGTCGGGCATTTAACCGACTGAGCCACCCACGCGCCCCTGGACTTTTACTTTAAAATACACTTTAGAATTTATCCATCTGTGATTTGCTCCTCTCCCTCAACTCTGCAGGCTTCTGGAGCACTCTTCTCCTCCCCATGGTCTGGGGAACAATGGATGTTTCATATAAAAATAGATGTAAATCACTGTGCGAATAAAATGAATAAATATGATGTGCCTCGAAACAGGACTTAATTGGAAGCTGCATTCTTCCCTCAGCCTGAGGGGACGCGTATCTTACACGTGTGTGTCGCTTTGGTTTTTGAAGGCTTCCGTGTACAGTTAGCTCATTTGTGTTTTGCAGATTTTTTTTAATTGCAGAAAAGGTGTTTGCATCCTGTACAGATTTGCCTTTTCTCCTGTTCTACCCCAGGGTAAGTCAGAAGAAACTGTACCATCAGTGAATCACAATGAACTTTCTCTTAGCTTGTCACCTTGTCCCTTTCTAGGCTCTTATTCACATGATATCCAAGGTCGTCTTTCGGGAACACACGTGCAGGGGCACTTGGGTGGCTCAGTGGGTTAAGCGTCCAACTTTGGCTCAGGTCATGATCTCATGGTTCGTCAATTCAAGTCTCGCTTTGGGCTGTGTGCTGATAGTGCGGAGCCTGCTTGGGATTCTGTCTCTCGCCCTCTCTCTCTGCCCCTCTCCTGCTCATGCTCGCTCCCTCTCTCTCAGAATAAACTTTAAAAAAATTTTAAAAACCCCACACATGTGTAACATCTTGTGGTGACTCCCTTCAGTTGTCACTGGATAAAGTTCCAGCCCCTTCGTGGGACGTGTGAGTGTGTCTACCATGAAACTTTCTCTATCTTTCCAGTGGTATCTCTTCTCCCAGTAAAGACTCTGCATTCAAGTCACACGACAGTTTACGGAAGAGTCAATGTCTGTTCACATCCCTGTGCCTTTGCTCACACTGTTCCCTTGGAATCGAATGTTTTCCACTCAAGAATCAGCCTACGTGGGGGCGGACCACAGAGAACAAAGGACACAATTTGGGACATTCTTTAGCAACTAAGCCTATCGAGTTTCCTTGCAAACACCAGATTCATCTATTACTGTGAAGAACGAGAAATCCAAGATAGGCCCTACTAATCCATGCCGTAGTCTCCAGTGTGTTGAGCATCTTTCACGTGCTGGGTGCTGGGAACATGGCAATGAATCATCCTTCGGGGAACTTGCAGCCAGCAGGGAAGATAAGGCCAGTCCGTGAACTCCCAGAACAGGCAGGAAGTTATAAGAAGAATATATATAAATAGAGGGTTCCATATAAAGCTCAGAGGAGGGAGAAGCTATATTAAGCTGAAGCATTGAGAAAAGACATTTTGGAGCATTTGCTCTGTGAGTTGGACCTTGAAAATGAGAGAGACTTGAAGGCATGCAGATGGTTTGGGAAGTGGGGGAGTATTGGTGCCAGAGTTCATTCGGTGCAAAGGCAAGGAGGTGGAAGAAAGCCGGGCTTTCGGGGAGAACAGAGACATAGCTTATCAAGAGCAAGGAGGAACTAAAGAAATGAAAGGAGGAGAGACAGACCAGGGCCAGGTGATGGAGGAAGCAGAGGTGTTAGCCGGTAACGAACCTGCAGACCCCTAGACATGAAGCTGTCTTCCCCTCTGATTCAAGTTGGAAAAAGGTTGCCCGACAGAGGTGCCGCAGAAGTCGGTTGCAATGCTGCTCGTCTGCTTTTAGATAACAGCAAGAGGCTGCCGGTGCCTTGGAGTTGTGTCTGAGTGCGTTGGTTTATTTTGTCCTTCTACTGAGTTTATTAGAGACACATATCCTGAAATGAGAGGGACCGCCTGTTGATAAGATCTCAATATGGAAAAGAAAAAGCCCGAGGAATGTCAGGATCTTCTGCGTGTGTGTGTATGCGTGTGTGTGTGTGTTCACCTTCTTGCAGAGAGGTCAAAGGGCTTGGCCAACATCATCTCTTTAGGCTTCCGTGCTCTAAGGGAGCTTTTCAAAGGGGGGAAATTAAAGATATATGGCCATAAAAGAACACTCTACATGAGAATGGAGATAATCAAAGAATTGCCTGTATTTGGGTATCCTCTAAGTATAACAGTACTTGGTTGGCCTGAGTTGGACCTTGACTCTTGAGCTGATTGAACTCTGATTGTATCTTGAGTTCCACCATCAGTCATTGCTCTTCTCAAACTGGGAGCAGATTAGGCCCTGTGTCTATTCAACAAACGTTTTTTTCTGGGCTAACTAGGTGTCAAGATCTGTGCTGTGTGCTAAAGTAGAGGTCATAGGTGGAGGCACAAAATGAAATAGAAATGGTCCTTCTTCTTGAGGATGGTACCGTCTAGTGGGGCAGACACATATGTGCAGATATTTTCAATGCAACGCATTGATGGGTCAGATGGCAGTAAATGCAGGGTGATTGCTGTAAGAGCCCCAAGGAGGCACGTGTCCTTAGCCTGAGCTAAGGGTGTTGGGAACGGCTAGGGAAGGTTGTTTAAAGAAACCGATAACTCAGCGTCTCCTCTACTGTTGGTCCAGCTTTAGAACCGTAGCCTCTCAAAGCTGGTTACCCCTGAGGTCGCCATACCTATCAAACTTAATTATCATCCCTTGTGTCACTATCTGATGTGCT